TGAGTGGGGCAGCTTGTGTCATCACACTCTTGAATATATAACAGTTATCACATGTTACCCGTGAGTATTCAATCAAATTCCTACTTGATTAACTGCTCAAATTTGAATTAGATAGAGTAGAAGAAAGAGAAAACGAACCACAGATTAGTTATGATACATTCTATAATGTACAAACGTATGAAATATTGCGTTCTGAGAACTACGTATTGTACTAAACACACAATGTTGAAAAAAGATGAATTATTATTATTAGTGTGCTTTCTATAATAAAGAAAAATGAGGCTACGTAAAATATTTGCAGATCAAATCTAAAGAAGCATCTTAAGGTGATTTCATCTTGTGATCAGTAGATCATTCTATTATCTGACTACTGATAACCAGCATACTTAAACACTTTCCTCAGATTGGTTAATTGATCTCTCCTTTGAAGTGCTGTTCTCTTTAGAAATTATCAATATAATTATAGTCATTACCTTATCCAAATGTGTACTTTATCATTCTGTTATTTTAGTAACCTTAAATAAAAAATGAATATGATGGCCGTCTTCAATTTCAATCTGATAAATCGTATCACAGACATTGATAGATATCTAATCTTTGAATATGAAAGGCAAGTGAATTGCTTATTTACTTACGCATGTCACGATTAATGGAGGTCACTGGCCGGAATTCTCTAACTCACTCTGTCTTGGACCTAGCTTTTCAGTTCTACTCAATTGCCATTCATTCTTTTCATATCTGTCTCCAATCCGAGAAGGTTCCAGATTAGGGCTTTCCTGGTGAAGCAGTTGAGTGATTTTTGCATTGTGCATCCTATCCACCTCCATCGCTTTTTCCTAATTTCTTGCTTGATAGGAATCTGGTTTGTTCTCTGCTGTAGTAGGTTATTGCTGTTGGTATCCGGCCAGCGTATACTCATTACTTTTTCATAGATAACTGTTAAAAAACACCTGCATCATATGAATAATGGCATACATAGTTCGCCAAGTTTCTGCTCAAAAGTAACTTGGTGATATCTACATATTTCTACAGAATGCAACAAACATAGCATCAAGAAATTCATCAAAGTGGGATAAAATCAAAAGAAAAGGTGCAGAAAACGACAGGTTTAAGGTCAATAATGACCAACGATGATCTATGTCCACAGAACAAGCTAAGAGTTATTACGTGAAGAAATTCGAATGCTCCACTTCTTCTCTCTAAAGTTTGTGCTCATGTCATTTTTCAGAAAAACAATAAAAGCGCCACAACCAAAACATCCAGCCAGCTCAGAGAACGAAACTCATAACTCATATAACTTATGTCATGTAATTTTTACAATATACAATGTATCATAATTGATCTATTGTCCGTTCACTCGTTCCTTTACTCTGTCGAATTCTGATCTTATTGAATTAGGACAAGATTACATGATTCAATACTGAATGTGATATAATGTATTAGGTTGAATATTTATTCAGTTCATACTTCATCCACTGTACATTAACCTTATGCAAGGTCTCTACTCTAAAACTACTGGTCGAGTGAGAGCTTATGGCGAACTGTCAACGGAATTCATTACTTCAAGTGGTGTACGCCAGGGATGTTCACTTTCCACATTTTTGTTTAATGTTGCCATAGACATGCTGCAAGATGTAGCCTTTTCTTCGTCTGAATCTTCAGGAGTCGACTTTCTACCAGGAAAATCGCTTACTGACCTAGAATATGCAGATGACATAGTTCTATTCGGTGAAGACGCTGACAAAATGCAGAGTCTTCTGACCAACTTAAGCAACAATCCAAGCATATTCGGGATGCGGTTCCCTACCCTCGAAAAGTAAAATTTTGCTTCAAGATTGGGTTGCATCGGCACCTAAACTAGTGATAGGGAGTGAAGTAGTCGAACGTGTAGACCGCCTCACTTATCTTGGGAGTCTCATCAGTGCCGATGGCCTGGTGACTGACGAAATCTCAGCTCGGATTCAGAAGGCTCGACCGGCTTTTGCCAACCTGCGACACTTATGGCGTAGGCAAGAATCCGTTTGCTAACCAAAGGTCGGATGTACTGGCTCCGTCCTACTATACGGATGCGAAACATGGCCGTTAAAAGTAGAGGACATTCGTAGGTTACTAGTCTTCGATCATCGATGCCTCCGAAGCATTGCTCGTATATCGTGGGACAACCGTATCAGCACTGCTGTCGTTAGGAAACGAGTTGTAGGTAGGAATGGCAAATCAATAGATGAAGTAGTGAAACTTCATCAGTTGAGGTGGTTGGGACATGTGTTACGTATGCCCAAACACAGACTGCCTTGACGAGCTATGTTTTGTGGTGTAGGAGTAGGTTAGAAGAAAGTTAGGGGAGGCCAAACCAAAACATGGCAGAAATCCATGAAGTCACTGACAAGTGGACTGAGTCATGTTGGTAGATGTAGGCTATCTGGTTGGGGTCCGCGAGACGATAGTCACTTATGGTTAGAGACCTTGAATGACATGGCTGAAAATCGTTTACACTGTCGCAGGTGCATCCATTCTTTGTGTTCTCTTTAATTCTTACCTTCTGAATTCCTCATCATCTCTACCTTTTTCCTTCTAAATTTATCTTACTGAATTATACTTCTCGAATCACATCTTCGCTCTCTAATCTTCTCCATTGCTGCTAATACTTCTACTATCACTATCACTCTTGGATTTGAACTGATAGTTGCGTCTCCGTGCTGATGGGGCATGGCAACCTGAACTGATGTACTTACGTACGAAGTTCTGCGTTGTATCTGTCTGTCTGTCTGTCTCATCCACTGATTCAAATGTAATTGAAACAGCAACCTCCAAGTGTCTAAAACCTTTAACCAGATAGTCACTCGGTTTCAATCATCATTATTACTTTTCATAATTATTCAACTTTCATTAAAAAAAAAATTGAAAAAAACCCAATTCAATTTAAACATTTTTAATTGGCAATTGTTTTTTACTAGTTCTGTCCTAGTAATTAATTAATCAATCACCTACGCATATACACAAATTGTGTGGTAAATGGAAACGAACAGTGAAAAAAATACAATATACACCCTCGCTTTCTCGTTAGTGAACTGCATTGGGGTTTTTTTGCTTACAGCAACAATATTTATTTATTTACATTAGCATTTTATGTAAGAGAAAAACTCATTTTTTTCTTTTTTCATTCTCTCGACAAAAATCGACTCCAAATGTCCAAATTTTAGTTCACATGTGAAATATGTACACACACACACGCACACAGTCACACTCCCTCTCTCTCTCTCTCGTTTCCTCGCATACAGATGATACATGTAAACATATACGTAAGTATACAT